GAGGGGAGCAGGGACACGGTTGAAAGGGGGGGGGTGTGAAGGGTAAGAGCAGCAACAGTAATTGGGAGCACTCTGTAATGTCATGGGACCCGTGACAGAAAAACAGGGAAGGCACTGAGGTTGCATTTTGAGGTGACATTTTCAGTAAGGGTGGGACGGGACAGGGTGTGATTGGAGGGTTAGTTTGATCTGGTGACACGGGCCTCTTCTTTGGGTAGTAGGTGTAGAACTGTAAAGAGGCTTCGTAAGGGATCTTTGAGAGTGACCAGGACTTGTGCAAGGATGGCATCTGGCAGAGTGGGGTAAAGTTGGAAAAATCCAAGGTTAATCCAAGGTTTAAGCAGGAATGAAGTAGATACGGAACCAAGGGAAAAACAGAGTTCAGAAGAGTGGGTGGAGGCACCCCAGTTTGACTCTTAAAACATGGAATCTAGATTTAAATGCTACACTGGGTTCAACTGTTCATTTTCAAGATACTCAGAGATTTGGTATCTGTTTTGAATTGTAGTAGACCTTTAAGAACACACGCCTGCATTTCTCTTCCTTCTCTGCAGTTCTGTGTGCTTTGGAGTCACTGGCCAGTCCTCTGCTGCAAGAGCACTGTTGAGTGTGTACCGTGCAGTTGAGCTTTTAGATACAAACGTTGTTATTTCAGTTTTCCTGCCTGCTTTTGATGCCCTAGAATTATGACCCCATGTAGTCCTTAATATGTCCCTGGATGGGAACACCCCTCTGTGAATCCACTGTCCTCATCTAAATAAAGGTCAGGGCTGGATTCCACAGTGATTTCTTTACAGATTTTTTGCTGATCTTGAGTATACCCCTAAAAGGTTTTGTTTTCAATGTACCGTCTGTAGAAAAAAAAGATGAAGGAGCTTGTTTCTTTCCTGTTTATTGAAGCAGCTAGAAGCCTAGGTGTTAGTTAAGGTTGCTCTCAAGGCCCCAGCTCTCCTTGACCGCCTTTAGATTACTAACGTGGAGTAGTCGTTTGTTAATTTTAACATCATCAGACTTAGCTTTTCAAGTTTCTGTCTTAACACTTGGCAAGGAGAGCATGCTCACTTTGACAGGTGACTTTTAAAGAGTTCGTTTGAAGTCCTAATGTCTTTCTTCTGTCTTTGTTCATATCCTAACATTCTTAACCTATTTTAGAAATTAGTAACATGAGGGAATGCACCTTGAACACTGCTGGCCAAGGCTTTGGCACTTAAATGTTAATTAAATCCAAATGTCATTATTTTCCCTTTTGCTTTTGACATTTTTGTGGGTTTGTTTTTAATTTCATTTTATTTTTAAATATTAGGACTCTTAAGCTGGGGGTATTGTGGGGGCATACCTTTAATCCCAGCACTTGGGTGAGTTCGAGGCCACCCTTGTCTATAGTAGTAAGTTCCATGACATCCAGAGCTATGTAGTAAGACCTTGTCTTGAAAAACAGAAATAAACGAAAGGTTTTGAAAGAAAAAGACTCTAAAAAAGTGAGATACCATAAAAATATCTCTCTAGTCTTCTTAGGATACCTAATATTCTTTTTGAGTTGTTTGAATTTATGCTTTAAAATTTTATTTGTTTATTTTTTATTTTTTGAGACAGTCTATATTCTAGGTTGGGCTGGAACTTGCCTAGCAAGTTGACCTTGAATTTAGGAAATGCTGAAAATGCATTGTTAGCTTTTCAAAACTAGAAGTTTTCCAATTTTTAACTTTGTGATATACCTCTTTATGATATTACTATGTTCTGATGTTATAATGTACACACTGAGCTTCTCACCAGCCCGGGATGCGCTGTGATTAACAGAAACTGAGATGCAAGTCTCTATGTCTTTAACACAACTTGGATATTTGTGTTTAATATCTGTTGTATATATCTGTTTATCATTCCCATGAAATTAACAGAAAATAGGAATCACGACTATCTAATTCCTAACATTTAATCGCGGTGACTGGTCTGTAACAAGCATTCAATAACTTGTCTTGGTGGTGGCAGTTTTCTTGTTCTGTTGTATTTGAGATAGGGTCTTGCCTTTTGTAGCTTTCAAACTCACATTCCTCTTGATTCCATGTCCAGAGTACTAGGATTATAAAGTATTTATCATAACATAATCCTTTATAGAATGAATATAAAAATAATAAATGGTGCACATTATTCTCAACTTCAGTTCCAGCATAGGAGACTCTGTTATTACCAACATACTCTATAGCTGCCAGCAGTTTCACAAACAGTAGTTGTGGATCCCCTGGCTTCTTGCAGACTTAGTCTCCTACACAACAGCACTGTGACCTACCATTTCCAAATGCCAACATAAACCCGGAAATAATAGCATCTGCTTTCCCATTGAAATCACTAAGAAAATCCCATAGACTCTTCACATGTATGCACATACACATTCCTCTTTTTTTCCTCCCTCCTATGTATTGCCTGATTTCCATCACACACACACACACACACACACACACACACACACACACACACACACAAACAAATATTGTTTTTCAGAAAAGTATATCCTAAAATCAACGTACAAGAGTACATATCTTAAAGAGGTATCTCACAAAGCTAAAAATTATAAAACCCTGATTGGAATGCACAGGATACTATGGAAACCGATGTTTTTCTTACATACTGTTTCTGTGAAACTAGTGGGCATAACTCTTGAGATGGTTAGGCATGGAAACCCACAGTTAGACCTGGAGTCTAGCTAGATATCACAAAGCAGGTGTCAACTCAGTTATGTCTAATTTAGTTTAGTGAGTGCCTGGGTACTGCCTTATATTTCTGTATACTATAAGTAGTGTACTTAAGTACTTTACTTAAAATGTGTTTCTGAAATAAAAGGTGGCAGCTCATTCCTATAGCAGCACTTGGGAGACTGAAGTAGGAGGGTCCCTGAGTGTGAGACTAGCCTGGACTGCAGAGGGAGATTCTCTAAAACCTTCTGTTGTGAGGACAATGACAGTAATAGCCGAATAATAATACAAATATTATTTACTAAAGGTGCTGTTCTGTTACATTGAAGGAATTTTAGGGATTTTTTGCTGTACTGGGGGATCCTGCATGGCAGGTGCCATCACTGAACTACAGCCCTACAGTTACAGAAATGATTTCTAGCTTACCCATTGTATGTGATGATTTTTTGTTGGCTTTAATATGTTAAGTAATACTTGTGCTCATTTAATCAAGCCATGTTAGATGTGACCTTATAATGCACTTGTCACAGTCGGTGCTGGCAGTGTCTCCTCGGGCATGCATGCGTGTGGGCCTAGGGAATCTATCACATTGAGAGACTTTATTCTGGGTGACAAGTGGCCAGCCTGGGCACTACTTTAGTTCAGTGAAAATGGTTTTCTTAACTATTTCCATTTTATATCTAGGCAGTAAATCTAATTAATTTTTTTTCCACAGGAAGGTTCTAGAAGTTGGTCGTGTTTTTATGGAAAGATAAAAACAAAACACACCAAGACTCTCCCATTGGGACTTTGAAGTTTGATTTTTGTCTCAGTCAGGTCATTTTAGTGATTTTTCAAGCCTGGCTTTTTTTGTTTGTTTGTTTGTTTTTACCTTTGGCTGCTTTCCACTGAATCTATTTAAGACTGTATTAGTGGATCATCTCTGAACTTGGCTTTCCTTCAGCTTATTCTATAGTACTTTCTTGGGCTTCCAGATAGGCAGGCATTGCTTAACTGTAGGAATGTGTTCTGAGAAATGCCCTGTTACGGAGTTTCATTGTTGTATGTATGAAGATGGCGTAGCCTCTTACACATCATCATGTAGATTGCCGGTTGTTGTTGAAACATCTTTCTGTAGCTTCAGGTTCCTGACTGATTGAGTTACTGTTAGGCCGGCACGAACCCTCCAGTGTCTGCCTCCCAAGCACTGCGGTGGGTTACAGGTGTGTGTGCTGCAGCAGCTCCTTATGGAGACGGAGGTGACAGGTGACAGGGTCCTCGTGCTCATGCAGCAGGCACTTAACTGACTAAGCCATCTCCCTGTCCTCCCCTGCCCCCACCAAGCACTTTTTAATTTAGTTGTCGTGCTTTGTTGAGTTGAAAGTGTATATTTTATTACTTTGCAGTATTGAGGCTTGAACGGGTAACCTTACACAAGCTGGGCAAAAGTCCCACCACAGAGCTATGTCCCTGTTTTTGATACATTGTATGTGTGTGTTTTCCTTGTAAATTTAGCTTTGTTTTACTCTTGACATATTAGGAGTATGATTTGTGAATATTTTCTCCCATTCTTTTTTTTTTTTTTCAAATTCTTGAGACAGAATTTCTTGTGGCCAAGGCCAACTTTGAAGTCTTGATCTTCTTAATACTGCTTCCCAAGTGCTGTAATTGCAGGCACACCAACTCAGGAACTTATTTTTAATGAAGTCAAACTTATTTTCTTTTGGTTGCTTATGCTTTTTTATGTCATGTTTAAGAAACTGTTGGCTAATCCAAACTCCAGAACACTTTTTTTTTTTTTAAACAAAATTCTGACAGTTTCAACTTTTAGTTTTGGAGCTTTATTCTATTTGAATTAATTTCGGTATATGATGTAACTCTTTTGCATGTAGCAATCTTTGCCATCCTGTCTGATTTGCCTCGTTGTGGTGTTTGTGTCTTGCATCAGAAGGTGAGTTGTAGGGAGGGTTTTTGATTGCTGTCTCACCACTTTCTGACCTGCCCGTCCGTAGTGGATGCATAGCAAATACTTGTTAGGATTTTGATCCTGTGTCTGAGTTCATTCACCTAGACATGAATAGTGGTGCTGCATGATGGTATTGTTCACAGTCTGTGGTGATGAGATTGTGGAGGAAATTTGTTTCATAGTAAAATTTTAATTTTTTTAATTTCTAAGAGTAAACAGATTCAGTTCTCAGTGTTTGCTTGAAAAATAACATCTGGGAAATCTGACCATCTGCTTCAAAAAAGAAATTGATTTTTCTTTGATTTCTTCCATCTTTCTTTGGGGAGTTTGCTTTAGTGAGTCACCAGTATTTCTTCTTTCTTTAATAGGTCAAGATGCTGAATTATCAGGGACACTTTCACTTGTTCTGACACAGTGCTGTAAGAGAATAAAGGACACTGTTCAAAAGCTGGCCTCTGACCACAAAGACATCCACAGCAGCGTCTCTCGAGTTGGAAAAGCCATTGATAAGGTATGGAATTGAAGGGATTGCTTTTGTTTTTAATTTCATTTTAGTTATGGTTTATATGTACACGTGTGCATGTCAGAAGACAACTCGGGAGTCGGTTTTCTTTTTCTACTCTATGGGTCTCTGGGATTGAACTCAGGTCATCAAGACTGGCAGCAACTCTCTTACCTGCTGAGCCCCTCGCTGCCCAGAACTGCTTTGTGTTTCTGTCATTCTTCCTTTGCCAGTATTTTGACACCCTTGCTTTCTCAAACTGCTTTAGGCCGTTCCTTCTTCTTTGCTTCTGATAACTTCTAAGGTTCTTGTTTACTGTGTTATCCGCTCTTAAAATCCCCTGTTGCTGTTACATGAGAAACAGAAATAAAAATAAACTAATAAAACATTTACTGTTTATCCATTTGCTTATATGAATAGAGCCCTGATGAATAAAGGTGCAGAGAAAATTTAAGCCACTATGTGGGAGTAGCAAAGCTTATTCCTATAACAGAGGCTGGGAATGCCCCTGTCCTGTTGTGGGGTGATTAGAATAACACCCTTGTACCCATCTCTCCCACTTGACCCTGTCTCCTCTTCCTGTAGGTAGGCTAGCTGCTTTTCTTTAGCGTTGCCTTCCGAGCAAGTGAGTGACTTGGTTGTCAGAGAGCCCGGCAACCCACTTTTGTTGGGTGATTATTTTTCTTTGTTCTTGTGACATTTCTTGATTAAGCCATGCTTGACTTAGTAGTTGACTCATAAGCAGTTTCCATTTTTAGCACTGAAGCCATTTTGCCCATGGGGTGCACAGTTCTAATGGGGTTTAGAGGAGCTGCCCAAAGTTTCATCTGTTCTTCCCCCAATTAGGGAGAGCGTGACTAGCCGTGGCCATTTCTGTTTATTATGTTATGAACTTTTGAAAGAGGACGCAGAATGGTGGAGGGCTCTTTGTAGCAAACATACTTCCTGAACATTCCTGAGTTCCTTAACCTGTACGTACAGTGATGGCAGCATAACATAGGCAGTAGAATAGCCTGGAGAGTGTGTCCAAGAAACTCATAAATTACCCTGTCGAGTATAGTATCCAAAGGCTAGGCTTTGGTACCAAAATGTGGACAGCTTCTAAGGGTGCACTCGCTGGTAGGTGTGCAACAGGACTGCAAGTGCCAGGTACTCCAGGGACTTAGGGAAGTTTTAGCAGTCTGTCAGAGTGATAGCTTGGATTAGTGATGGCAGAGGTTGGGCAGATGGCAAAGGCTGGGAATGTAGTGAGTATTCTCTGAAATACTTTGGAAGTTTGAACTCTGTTTGGTAACTTGATGGAGGTGAATGTGGCTGTGGAAGTAGGCTTGACGTCATACCATTGTGGCACCGGAAGTTATTAGTTGGTACCTGAAGTGGTTGTTTTGATGTATGTGTAGTGCTGGATACCTGTGAGAGAATCTGAAATAATCTATGAATGAGGAGCCTTGTGTTTGCGTAAGAAGCTTCACACCTCTGTGGTCAAGGCATCCTGGTGGTTCTGATGGCACAGAGAGAGCCCTGGGAGGGTTCTGAGGCTGTCTGCTGGACCACCACCGGGCCAGCTGCTCCCTGTAGGTAATGCTTGGGAGTCATTCATCACCTCTTCAGCAGATCAAGACTGCGCTTGGAGCAGGTGCGAATGGTCTCAGCAGGTTTGTGTGCTGCTATGGTTGGATACTCTATTTCCAGCTTCTTTCTGTTCTAATTATCATCAGAATTCTCGTTTGCTCCTCTTCCTGCAGGTGACTTGGTGTGCATGGGTTCTTCCATGTGCAGCTGGCTTGTACAGACCACAGTTGGTGGTCAAATGTTTTGACTAGTCCTTGAGTATTTCTTCAAGAATGGATGTCTAGGGAACACATTTATAGTTAACAATTTACATTCTGACTTAGGTTGGGAGAGGATATTCAAAACATGTTTCTTATTAGGTATTTTATTTAGTCTAACACTTTTGAGAATGCTTTTTTTTCATGTATTTGGAAGTTCTAATGACCTCAAATAACTGCAATTCTGAAAGAAAGAGAATAGCCTTCCAAAAATGTGTTTTTGTTTTTAGGAAGGTACATAGATTCTTCTCACCTAGCATAGGCACTGCAGCAGTTAGTGGACACTACGTGCTGGACTGTAGCTTCCGGGCATCTCTAGCACATACTCCCTGCGTTTGGTCATCTACTACGTTGCCTGAAGAGGAGGCCGTTTCTCAGCTGATGTTCCTAGATGTGAAGAGGTTTTGTGTGTGCATGAGGAATCTGAGTAGGCTGTAATTGCATAAGACTCCTCTGGCTTGTTAAATCTTACCCACTTAACTTGAACTTGACAAATGTATACAAGCTCTGAGAAGCTTGTTGTAAAGGTGGGGAACA